ATAATATTGGCCGACAAAAACAAATAAACAATAAATTAAAATAACAACTGACAGTAGTGATAGATGAACGAATCGTCAAGTGTCCACACAGTCAACAGTCCAGAAGATATCAAGCGACGTTGCCGGATCACCGTCTAATACTTGTCACGTCACATTAACGCGCGATATTCCAGCTCGTTTGAACGGGATCAATACTTTGCAAATTTTTTGTGGAAAAACTACTTCGAATAAAAATCTGAAAAAAAACACCTGAGACTTATCGTCATACTGAAGGCCACGGTATTTTTTCCAGAAATTCGTGTTCTCGCCTATTAGCAATAAAAGTTCAATTGTCTCAAAATAATGTTCCCTTATGATTTGTGGCTTATTGCTTGTAATAAATTTGTGTAAATAATAATTATATTAATTCACACTAGGGGACATTTGAATCGGTGAACGTGACTACCACGGTGCACGACTTGTGGGCGTGGTCTTGTCAGTCCTTAGCATTCAGCACAATGTTGCCAAGCCTCCAACATTCACATGATATTTTGTTATGGAGAATAAGAAATATTTGGACATGCTGGTTGCTCGAAAAAGTCAAGAATGAACTAAAACATCATCGGTTCCTCCTATTATGTTTTATTCAACGACAGGATCTAACATCTTTTTGATAACTTGATTATAATTGGTGACTTGACAACCTTGCTTCATGAGTGGAAATGGAAGATTATCTGACTAAGAACGAAACAGCATAAAAACTGACATCACCATTTATTTGACGTATCGCCAAATGGCGGCCATGAAGGTTCGTTTTAAATTAACTCTGAAATTCAACAATTTTGAACAACGCATAGACTCATTATTTAAATAAAAAAAATCGACACAGCGGAGTAATTGAATACTAATAACTCATAATCAGTCCACTCGCCCATTCCATTTGTTTATTATATGTGTGCTATCGTAGTGGAAAGAATAACATATTTTGAAAAAAATGTTATATCAAAGGTTATATGTGAATTTTTTGTTTTATGTGTGCTGTTGTAGTGGAAAGAATAACACAGTATTGAAAAGTTGCCACATCAGGTGTTAGTAAATGTATAATTAATTCTTCCGATTCTTAGTTGATGGGTTATTTCAGTATTTCTAGTACACTGACCAGCAGAATCACCACCAGTTTAGTTTTTGAAATATTCTCTTCTAACTATTGCATCCGTGTATGATGTTTTTCTTTACATTATAGTTTCACATATTAGGACGTTATCGCCCTGCTGATTTGTATTCAAAATAATCGCTTATTTATTTGTACACCGAGTGTAAGAATAACCTCGAGACACTCAAAACGTCCTGTGGAGTATACCATTACCAACAGCTTATAACTGTAGCATAATTAACATTTTTAGTTTTGTTTCACTTCATCCGGTTTTGAATAGGGTAAATATGCAATTTCATAGCACAGTTTCTGTATCAACAAGTTCTAAAATTAATTTCTTATAAACGCATGAAAAATGTGTTAACTAACATTTTTAAACATATACATGTCTGGCAAAAAATAAACTCATAAGAAAACCATCTATTGAAGTGAATACGCATAAAGATTCATGGATACGTAAGCGACGTTGCCGTTATACCTACTTAGCCCGTGGGTGGAAGACATGGTTTGGCAGTGTTACTTTGTTTTTCTCTCAATCATATACTCGTGAACCACTGTGCGTAGAATCAGTAGTAATATTATAAGTACTTCAAAATATTCGGTTTACACATGATAACTTGTTGCATAGTTACAGAGTGACAGTTTGACAGTTGAAATAATGTGACCGCGAAGCGGGAGGATTATTCTGTTAAACTGACACGATTTGTAATTATGCAGGAAGTTTGAGATGTAAAACCATGAATAGTTTAAAGTTCGAATTGAATATGAATTGATGGTTACTATAGAAATAATCCTAAATTTCTGATTGGCGGTGTTACTCTATAGATATCCACGTATATTCGAAATTATACAAGGTAGCTTAACTCAATTGAACGTTCTGATTGATTTAAAATCTTACGAAGAAAATAATAACTTCAATAGATGGTTTCCCGAGGAGAACAATTATTTTGCCAAACGTGTATTTTCACCACTACAATTTGACAACGATGCTGCATACTCAAGATCAAACTAATTTGGTCTTGATCGATTTCGGTCCAAATAATAATATGTATTGATATCCTTTTTCCCCTACTATCCCTAGAACTTACAATCACTATCTAGTATTTCACTACCGTTGGTTTTTTTTACATTTTATTAACTAGTAGTTCATAAAGGCATAGCCACAAACTATTAATGTAAATTCACGTTGATCATGCGATAGTAATAAGTTGCTCAATGAATAATTAATATCATAGCCCGGGAACCAGCGAAATTTTTTTGACACATTTGATCAAAATTAATTTCATTATTTTCGTGTCATATTTACGCCTTATTGACATAATATCAACTCCTGCCGGCGCGGCGCACCAGCGGGACTACGCTTATCAGCAACTTATCAATGTTAAAAAAAAGAATGACAAACATGATAGAAGCTGGAACTTCTATCAATTAATGATATATCAGCTAGAAAAAAGTCACCTCCTGCCACCTGTTTCGTAGAAGAATATACTCCTGCCATGTACCTAATGATATACCTGGCCTCGGCAGGAGGTTGTGAAGTTATTGTTGGATAAGTGACGCACAGTGCAGGAACTACTCTGAAGGCTTCTTATTAAAATATATTTCATCTATTTTCTCTCATTTTTTTATGAATTATTTTGAAAAAAACATAAAAAATGTTGATAGGTATAAAAGTTATTTATATATCAAGGGCGTTAAATAGGCTTTCATGGACCGTAGCGTGATAAGTAAGAGCCCGAGCGTCAGCAAGGGCTATTAACACGCCAAAGTCCATGAAAGCAAGTTACGCCCGAAATACATGCAACATTATATGCACGATCGGTATATTTGATTTTTCATTGTGAATACCTCTCCACCTTTCAAGAACGATAGAAATACATCATGGTTGCAGTGAGGACCATCATTGATGGAATCAACGTTACCAAGGTAAATGGTACAGGAATGCATATCACGAGCTACCTATACGCCGTGCGATAAAGTAGTCCGCGGGCGGTAAAGTGGCACTTTACGCCCGCAAAACCGGGCGGTAAAGTGCTACTTTACTCCCGGTCGTGCATACCAATATTTACAAGTATGGAGCCGTACATGTTGCAAAAAAAGTTTTCTAATGTTTGGTAAATAGCATTTGTTTCGATGTCGAGATAATTTGGTAATTTCGAGAAGGTTTCGTTGAATTCCGGAGACTTCTGCAAAATGATGAATGGGCGATTCTTATCCTTTTTGAAGTAAGTAGTGTCACATCTCGTGTGAAATTGTGGAAGAGCTTCACACTGTTTGTCAATTGTTTAAATCAATATATTTTCATACTAGTGAATATTTTTATAACTATCACTATTTTTATAATGTTTTTGTGAAAGCATTCATCGGAGAAAAGGGGAACATGGATGAAAAATATTTTTTGAGATGCCTGCAGAGTTGTTTCTGTACTATCTGTCACCTATCCAACAACAACTTCAGAACCTCCTGCTGAGGCCAGGTTCCGACAAATAGATGGCAGCATAAGTTTTTCTGCCTTCTTAATTAATGAACTACCGGTGAAAAAATCTGCTTTCACCTTTAAAGTCATTTTTTTAACATCATTAGGTCCATGGCAGGAGTACATCATTTACGATACAGGTGGCAGGAGTTGATTTGTTTTTTAATTGATAAGTCATCAAGCGATAGGTGTAGTTTCAGCTTTCATCATATTTGTCATTGGCTTTTTTAGCAACATTGATAAGCTGTTGATATAGGCTATATAATAACGACAGATAGAAAGATGAACCAAGCTTAATCGAATAATAAGACATTGAAATATGTCGCTAGCTCCCGGGCTATCAGGCAGATTATTATAGTAAACATGTTACGAACATATTTCTAATCTAATATCACAAACATCGCAATTCACATACGGAACTGAAATATGCTGTCAGCTGTCATAGTTCGGAACAATTCGGAATATTCCCGATCCCGATTGACCAATTGAAACATTTATAGTAACTGACAACTGTGACACAACATTGAGAAAATGTGACTCTTGTTCTAGATTTGAATAAAAAATTTCATATGAAAAATTACGGTTATATTGTACAAAACTGAAACCAAGTGGCTTTTATGATTTTTTTTTAAATTTCTATAAGAATGACAGTCATGGTCGTGATCATGGCAACTAGATTTTCTTAACGAAAAAAAATGCGCTTTCAAAATAATTTCTTCAGTTCTACGGTAAAGCGTCAATCAAAACGTGAAGTGCTATGAAATTGTATACCTCCTTTAATGACAAAGATAATGAAATGAAATAAAAAGAAAAATGTGGGTAGAAGATGAGGTTACAGTCAGATTATGATTGTAATCGGCTGTTGTTACTGTTGCACTCCACAGTTCTGAGTTTTACGAAAAAAAATTGATACATCCGGTATTTATGTAAGAATAAATTATAAATAATAATTCATAATACTATCTGTAGGTTAATCTCTATAAATAAAATTATTGGTATTATTTCGAAATACCTGTAGCAAGGTCAAATCCGATGATTCACCCAAAAATGTCACCTCGCTGAAAATCGTACTATTAGAAACCTGAAAGGAAAATTCAATCGATAGTCAGTGACACCTTGTTTGAATCCACAATTCGAGGAAAGAGTCGTCAAGATTCAGAAAAAAAATCAGACTAGAAATTTTAAGTGGTGCATTAATTTTGCTGGTGAGTGTATGTATTAGATAGTTTTGAACTCATCTTGCTCCTGCCATCAACTTATAATGGATGATATTTTCAAGACGAAAAATCTGTATTGAAATGTCTTCTTGTTCCTATTGTGAGAATAATAAAAAAATGAATTTGTCATGTGATCGGAGAGTTAAAGATTAACTGATATTGTATTTATTTACAGAACTTGAAATGTCCAAAATGTTCTTTTGGATTCACCTCAGTAAGAGCCCTGGAAAACCATGTTTATAGGTGCCTCGAAATTGACGATAATTTGCCATAAAAATCGCTGTTTTTTCTCACTATTTGGTGCTGTCGATAAAAAATATACAATCTGATTAGTGCACTGTTAACATGTTTATTCTATTATGTAGGTATGACTTGAAAATTTTATTTCATTATTAGACTAAACATATATTATATTAGTTCCTTTAAGTTATATGAGATTTTTCTTGCTTAAATGCAAAATATACACTGTTATTCCATGGAGCACCAATTGAAATTTATTGAAAAAATTTATTTGATATTGATTCGTTTTGTAACTGAATATATTTTTAGGTTCATTGTCTAATTCAACTTTTCCTCATATATATGCTTCATGGACACAAAGTCGTATATAAAATATTTGGTTTGTTCTCTCATAACCAACTTATTTGGTTGACAATATCAATAGGTATACTATTGTGTTATGTTTCATTTTTTGATTTTGATAGACTACACCTTTGCTGAGGCTGAAGGCACATTTACTAGATTGCAAAAAAAACACTTTTACCGAAGGCACGTTGAGGCGATCGGTATACAAGTTAGGCAAGAATAATTTTCCTATAGACGCCCATGAATCGTTTCTCTATAGGAAAATTATTTTTGCCAGACGTGTAGACCAATCATAATGATCAAAAATAGTTCAGCCCCTCTCCATTTAGCCAACATAACTGTATAGTATGCATGAGAAGCACATATATTTATTCATGTTTGGTTTGATGCGAAATGATATACCAGTGGTGCGAAATACCGCCATGGCCAAAATTGTTTGATACGGATCGTCTGCTTATACGTGCCTACGGTGAACTCTAGATGCAAGGTGAAGTTTTGTTTATGTTAATTTCTATTCATTTAATAAAACAAATACCTACATTTTGATATAATGATTTCTTATGAGTTGAATAGTGGAATATTTTCATTTATATTATTGTTTCATTATGCAATTTACAACTTAGAAATACTGTGATGATAAATTTCTATAATAAAAATGATATTTGTTTACGGATACTTCATTGATAACGATTTATTATTCCTCATACTCCTGAACATTTTGTAGAAAGTTACGATTTATTGCAGTAACTCGGGAAACAATATTCATCTTCATTCATAAAATGTCATAATAAATCAAAAAATATTAGAAAGTTAACCGTTGGCCACCTAAATTCCAGTTAGTGATTTTGAAAAATTAACAGTGATTATACATGTCGAAGATGTACTCGAACTCTGGTGTAGTAAAACCTGATTTCATGGGTGCACCTCCCTTTAGAAATGAACATGGGGGACATATGGAATATTTTCAAAAATACAGAGATGATAATATATCTCGTATGAAAGTAAGTATGATTATTTTTTGGAATTTTCTGGAGGACTTATATGAATGTGTAATAAGTTTCTGCTTAACCATCCTGGTTGCCCGAAGTCAATTTGGTATTTGATATTCTGGGACATCCTGTATCTCTCCTAGATCATTTCCGCTATAGTTTTATCGTCAGAGGGCAATGAAGTTTTCCAAAATATTCGTCATTATCTACGTATTTTTTGGCGTAGAACACGATATTAAAATCAAAATAGTACACCAACCAATAGTTTTTCATTATATTATTCTATTGTGACGATTTTATGGGATATTTAATTTGATAAGAAGGTGAAAATAGTTTTTCCTGTAAATATCTCCAAAACTATTGGATTAAGTACTATTTCGATTTCGGATTCGTGTTCTCCTCCCCAAAATACAGTACAGTACAGACAAAAAATTCGAATAATTCGATATAGCCCTATAAATGGAAAAATTTACTAAAATCCCTATGTTGATAGTTTTTTCATCAGTTTTGTGCCATGACTGATTTTCTAGGTTCCTCGATACGATTGGGGTATGATGAATACTCCATACACCCCTAGTCCTGATGTATCAGTATACAAAAAATCTTACAAATACCTGAATCTCCCACCTTCACAGTTTTCAATGATTGATCGTGAACATCACCAAGAAGTGGATGATTTCTATGTTGTACGTTTTCTTTTTCTCAATTATATAGGTCGCGTGCACGATGACCGACCCTGGAGGCAAAATATTGAAACACATCCTCACTCATCTGTGAATTATTGAAACACAACCTCACGTTTTTATTTGTTCACAGAGGAATCAAAGGATTGAAATAGTTTTTCACAATATTTTGGCATACGAATAGTGTTTTTTTGCGTTATTCGCCTAATAAAGTCATAAATTATCATTATTATTCATTAATTCAAGCATGCCTTCGCATTGTGTTGTTGTACAATGCAGCGAGAGACGAAGGAATATGATTTTTCAGGTGAATAGTAATCTCATATAGTTTTCATTATGAAACTCTGTCATTTCTTATTAAAATGCCTTCTGCCACTTCTGCAATAGAAGCTAATACTGCTAATAGATTGAAAATGTCTACAACACACACGATCATGTTTCGTCAGTATGTCAGACCAGTCCTCCCGTTTGATTGCATGAATCCAATCTTCTTGCATTATTTTGAAAATTTCATTTGTATTTCTATTAGCTCCTATTGCAGAAGGAATTACCAAATTTCAAAAATGAAAACTATATGTGAGTGACTGTAGTAGGTACTTACTTTTAAATTATAATGTACCAACAGGATTCCTTCGTCTTCTGCTTCAGTTTTTGTGCATTGGACAACAGCACAATGTGATGGCATGAGCGAATTGATGAATAGCCGAAAAATACGATTCGTATGCCAAAATAATTGTGAAAAACTATTTCAATCACTTGAAAACAAATAAGAAAAGTGAGGTTGTGTTTCAGTATTGTTCCTCCAGGGTCGGTCATCTGACAGTTCTTGCACGCAACCCATTATATTGTCACTATCACGTAACCTCGTTTTTAGGCTTGTCAGTTGCATAGGGATCAGTACAGAGATCAATCTGGATCACTACACCCCTTAGATTACTTCAAAAAATCCGATTATTTGTACCAGTGTTCTCCAGATCCAACAACGTAAAAAACATGTTTTTCTCAATTAACGGAGATTTACTGAATCTAATATTTTCAGGCGTTACTTGAAATACCCAGACTATCACGTTAAATACAAGCAACCCATTGTCTTACCACTGAGCTTGGAAAGATCTCTGAAGACCCCATTGTTGCCTGATAGAGCTTTAACTGGAGTCTATAATCCATCTAGTGATATAGCTTACAAGCGATAACCTATTTCATCATTTTCTAAAGTTCTTATCTAATTAATAAAAAAAAACCTTCCCAACTTTTTTATATTTATTCACAATCATACTTACAACAAATGTATTTTCTTAAATAAATAATTCTGACTGATCTTGATATTATCCAATATTTTCTTGAGATTTGTTTTGTTTCAATTCACAAACGGAAACAAAATGAATGAGAAAACTCAGGCATTTTTTGTATTGCATTTTCAAATTCCAGAGGTCCAATGGTTCCACTTGTAGTGAAGTTTATTCCCTTCAATAGCTGTAAAATGAATGTAGGGCTTCTTATGTACATAACGTAGCTATGAAAATGTAGATGAAATATTCAAACTTTTCGATCAGTTACTTTGCTGAATGAAAAATTTCAATACAATTCTGATAAACTACGATATCGTGTCTGATCTGATGATTATAGATATTCTGATGAACATATTCTTATTACCAACATAACGCTATTAAACCCTTCAAAATCATAAAATATAACAAAATTTATAGGAGAGTTATATTTTCGTCTGAAAAGTGTTGAGTTCCTGTACTTATTTCATTCATTAATCGAAAATTTTATTATAGTGAATTAGTTCAATCAACGAAGGCCAAAAATGGTGGAGTAGGGAAAATCGTGTAGTCGCAATCAACATACGAAAAGTCCTGACCCATATATGAAATCGTTTGAAGGTCATTTTTACTAGAGTCACTGGGATAGTATTAGTTAGATAAGAGTTCGGACACAGCTGAACTTCTGTCCTTTTCTATTTTCTATTTTCTATATTACGATGGTTAGAGTGAATAAAAGAATGAGACATATATTCTTTTCTTTGCCTTTTCAATTGTCCTAGCAGCGCCTGATTGTCAGATACGATTTCAGTGTTTAGATTTTCTGTCAAATCAATCATAGCTGTAGATGGAAAATAGAAATAGGGTATAAACACCCACTTCAATTTATAGGTAGCTATACATTTTTTGCAGAACAACAGTTATAAAACGTAAAGAATGCATGTAACAACATTTTAATATGACAAAATAGACACATATGGATATACTTATAGCTAGCTAGTAATTCAAGCAGCACTGAAAGCACTTGAATCCAAAGCAGTATGGAACAGCAGAGAAACCGTAAACCGACTGGCAGAACGCAATAACGTTAACCTAGTCAGGATACCAGGTCACACGGGCCTAGAAGGGAACGAAATATCGGACGTCCTAGCAAAAGAGGGGGCCGGAACATCGTTCACTAGGCCAGAACCGGTAATCGGTATAGCACATAGAATGACCAAGAATGTTATAACATCCTTGGCCGACAACAAAAGACTCGATTATTGGCGTAGTCTACCGGGCCTAGCCCATTCCAACGCATTCATTTCATTGCTTGTATAAGGAATAAACAGGACTCTGACAGACTACTAAAACTCAGTAGAGCACATCTCAGAGTTATTAGTAGGTTTGCTCACTGGCCACTGCAAACTCAAACACCACATGCACAAAATCGGACTTGCACAAGATGCAGAGTGCCGTCTATGCATGGAGGAGGATGAAACGGCTGAACACATTTTATGTACATGCCCTGCAGCGGCCAGAATCAGATTTTCAACATTTGGCAATACAACAGTAGGGCCAGAAAACCTGATGAATTGTTCTCCCAACGTACTCCTTAATTTCGCCAAGAGATTAGATATACTGGGAGAAATATTACCATAGGTTGAGCCACAATACGCCATAGGCCGCAGTGGAGGCCCTGACATGGGCCCACTCACGTTTAACCTAACCTAACCTATAGCTAGTTCCTCATATGTAAAACTGCTGTATTCACTTTTCACTGATACATGTTGAAATTGGTCGGTATTGAAAAGGCCATTCAATATTATTATTATTATATTTGTTTATTTATTAATAATGCTTTGTACACAAGAATTTGTTTCTTCCGACAATAAATAAGTATATTTGATTTCCTCAGTTTCGTTCTCTAATTTTCAATCTCATTACGTAGTAATGATAGTTTTGTTATGCATTTCATGTGATAATAATGGATTACCATTTTGAATAGTCTCGAACAGATCTTGAAATACATTCCTTCCATAAGGGAATGGAGTTGATATTTCCTTTGGCGAATTGAATAAATGCAATCCATTTTCTTGAGAATTTCCACAATTCATTACACAGCAGGACATTGTCATTTATTCTCTCTTTTCAAAAGTTTATGAAATCATATTTCAATTCTGACGTTCATAGTATTCATTGTCAAATTCAAACAATTTTGAATGAACAAGCGCGGGACGATTATGGTGCTCTTGTCAAAAATGCAAGGAGTGTAGTAACTTATAATAAATCAAAACATTCAAGAAAACTAACAGTTGTCATTTCTGTGTCCAAACTCTTATCTAACTAATACCATCCAGTGAATCTAATTTTAACAAGCTCTGTTCTAGAATAATTCGGAAATCGCAGCCAGTCTGACTTGACAAAAATCATAGGTAGGACTCCTCTACCAATATTTCTTCTTTGAAGCCATTATCAACATGTTTTTAGAACGGATACGCTTATTTATTTCGAAAACTGTTCGTTTCTCGAAATAAATTGAAGAGCAATGAAAGTTTCTAAATTCAACAATTCACATAATCCGGTAACTAGATGATGTCAGAGGTGTACTACTAGAAATTTTGAGTGGGATAAAGAAGCCTGTACCCCCAAAAATGTATGACTCTGTAGATATTGAAAATTTTCAAAATGTAATATGATAATCTTCTAGAAAGTAACAATCTCACTGAATTTCAAATCGATATCCACAATAGTGAGCAAGATATTTCAATTGATGAAAAATAGTATATTACGTAATATGTGTTGTAAGAAGCTTTTTTTTATGTTCTGGTTCCAACGAAAAGGGATATCCTGTAATGTTCTAAGAACATCGTGAGTACCAAGGGAAATAAGGGAGGAATTGGTGTTCTTGAATTTCTGGAGGTTATATGCCTCAAAGAACACCTTCCTTGGCAATGTGTTCCAGAGCCTCGCTGTTCATTGGATGAACAAGTCTTTGGAAAGAGATGTTCTGCAGGTCTCCAAAGTGACCACGAAGGGGCGCGGAGCCTCAACTCGACGGGTTAATCCCGCGGGGACTGCCAAGGGAGAAACAATTGTTGATATTTCAGAAGAGCGTCGTCCACGAAAGTATCTTCAAAATAGAGCCAGATCGCCAACTTTTCTATGGTGTTCCAGAGAAGTGAATGAGTTTGTGAGCGAGACGAATTGCCCTTTTTTGGACAGAATCAATCCTACAGTTTCAGGGTATGTTTGGGTGCTGCACTCCAAATATGGGAACAGTATTCCAGGACAGGTCGGATCTGTGCCTTATAGATCATAAGCAGCTGACAGGAAGGGAAATAGCTCCTGGCCCGAAACAGAAAACCAAGTTCTTGGGCACTTTTAGCAATTGATCTCACGTGATTTTCCCAAGAAAGGTTATTGCTGATAGTAATACCAAGCATCGAAATGGATGTCTTCAAAACTTCAAAGGTATGGTTACTCCTGATAAGCTTATGTTGGGCACAGTGAGATCGGCTTTTCTAGAGAAGAGGCATGCTTGTGTTTTGTTTGCATTGAAATCTACCAAGTTATTGAATCCCCATTCGAGAATTGTTGCGTAATTGTTTTACAACACGCATTATGTACTATACTTCACCTACTTCCATATAGTACATCAAAAAATTTTGGACAAACAGTCTGAATTATAATTCTTGACAGTAATGTCATCCGCTGTCGACGGCGATTACGCGATCATGACTGGCGGAATAAACGAATACTGTGCGATGTGCTTACTGTGCTTGAAGAACTACTTATTGAGGCTGTATCTCGTGTGTTCTTGCCTACTTATAGTGGCCGTAGGTAAAAATAATTAATCTTTGACCTTTTTTAGCTCCGCTACTGATCGAGATCGGACTCATGTTTATGAAGCCTATTCTGATTGAAATTATGAAATCTATCACACATTTCAGTTCGTGCCTTAAAACTTGAATAACCCTGTATATTGGGGCTCCAAATAATCCCAAAATCATAAAACTAAACTTGAGAATCTAGAAAGTCAATAAACGAATATTCATTTGTAGGAGTGATTGTGGTGATTGGAGTAACTTTTCTGAGATCGAGAGAATTCATTTTATCTGGAAAATGAACATATGTTACCTGCCTCACTTGAAAGTTGAAAGAATCATAAACTTGTTAACCTCACGATGAAAATGTCTTCTACCTTCAAAAAGTTTCGTTTTTCGTCATTCTAATTTAATTTTTTGACAACAGTCATTTCACGTCATTCCTTGTAGTGAGACATCGTGAGTGAGACGGAATGGACAGTAGCAACAGGAATCGGAAAACTTGCAAATAAAACAAAACCTCAAAGTGATTCCGGTGGCGGAATCGGATAAATAAATTGCAACTATTATTATAGGTGAGCCTTCTGTGATTGCGACCTCGATATAGTGAGTATACTATAACATATTCTTGTAAGCTGTGTATACGTATTATACTTACAACTTTGATAATTTGTTGGCAATCTTCTAATTTTATGAATCCAACTCCAATAGCCAATCGATTTATAAGTTCCACCATATCATTTTCCCCAATCTCATCATCTTCATCAAAATCTAAAATAATGTTTATATTCAAAAAGAATATTCGAAACCGCAGAGTGGCTAACTTACCAAAGATATTGAAAGCCCAGGCTGCTTTCACTGTATCCGGGCAATTTTCAGACATCACTGAACAGAAATCAAGCATATCTTCAAAGGAAAATTTGTCATCTTTCAGTGATGAGAATACTTTGAAGATTCTGTCTTTGAAAGGATTGAACTGAAAAATGTATTTCATTATTGCTAGATGATATTTGCATCAATTATAGTTTACCTGTACGGGAGGAAATAACTGTTCTATAATAGCACAAGGGAATCGGAACTGAAGGTTTTGTAGTAAACCATTTTCATCGAGAGTAGAAAAAGTTTTGTATAACCTAAAAATCATCAGTAGTGTAAAAATATAACTGGCTCAACATCGACTCGAAATAGTTGTAGTAGAGGATTGTCAAATAACAATGATTATAATGCCATACACGAAATTCCTGTCACACCCAGTATACACTAAAAATTCTTGATCCAATTGAAATAATCGAGTGTAGTATTTCAATTGTACAAGTGCTCCTCCATCCATTTTGTGTTCCAGAAATATTGAGAAAAACCGTCTAAGGATGTACCTATACCATTTTAATCTATGCCTATAATATTTGAAGGCCTCTCCCCAGCGAGCACAAAAACATCTCAGAGATGTTAAAAGTACGAGATTTCGAGACATTGAACCTCCACTGCGATGTTCTGTTCACACATGAATAGAACTATTATAGAACAGCCAATGTCCGCAGCAGGCGGCAATTATAGAGATGTCCTTGATATGTCACAAAACTACCTTCTCCCTAGTTCTTTTTAAAGCCTTTTCATGGACACAACAAAACATTTTCAACGCGTCTTGCGCACATTAAATCGCTGTAAAAAAACCATTTTCGAGGTACTTTTCTGAAGCCTTTTGTCAAAATGAACTTTTGCATTAGGATTCCATTTCCCTTAAATGAAAAAATGCATTAAAAATAGATTGAACATAAAAATATTCTCTTGATATGAAATTACCTTCTTAATCGGTTTCTGAGTAGTGCTTACTACACACAGACATATAATTGGAAATAGGTTTTCCAATTTTTGAAATGTTCTCCACAATGCATAATTTTGCAACTGCGGAGAAGCTGTGTATTGATAAATTCGTACTTTTATATATTGATTACACTGAGGCACCGAACAACACATCTTGCATCTGATGGTCATTATTACAAACTAAATAAGTCTTCTAACACAATAAACTTCACCAAATTCCCTTCTGTTCGTTAGCAGCGTGATGTAAGCGTGACACGCTGCAAACGCGAATGCCAATTGCGAACAAGAAGAACGAAATCGAAAACAATTCAGAATTCATCGTATTGTGACGTAAGCATGAGACGTTGTGGTGGAGCAAACAAAGAAAGGGCACAAAAGAACAAAAACAATACTTTCAATATCCTTCTAAGACCTCTTTGGAAAGTGCATATTACGCCTCAAAAAAACATCGTCATGCCTACATTTCTAAAACATCCCAAAACATCCCAGGGATACCTCTCAGTAGGCAAACAAAGAAATGCCACAGAAGAACAAAAACAATACTTCAATATCCTTCAAAGACCTCTTTGGTCAGTGCATATTACGTCTCAAAATAACATCTTCATGCCAATATTTTCAAAACATCCCAAAACATCCCAGGGATGTTTGTGCTCGCTGGGTCTTATAGGAAACATTTTTCAATAAAGATTACAGGAACTTTTTTCCATCAAAATACTTTAGGAATCACCTCACGAACATTTTACCAATTATCAGAAAACACACTGTATATGCAGAACAAAAAATTGAACAAATTATAATATATAATTTGGGCAATACAATAATTATTGATCAATTCCAGCCTCGTGTGCGCAACGTGTGGCCACTATCCATTTGTTTGGTGAATTGAGTAGAAAGTTCACAGAAAAATCACTGCTTCACCTGGTCTCAGGTGACCCCCATGACCCCTCCCAACCATTTCATTTTACCTCCCACGAAAAAATGATTTCTTTTTTCTTCCCGTGGGAGTGAATTGACAGGTTTGTGTCCTTAACCCGGCGGCAATGTGGTGGACAATCATTAGATCAGAAGTGTGGTGGGGTATGCCATATGTAATACCTACCCCAAATTTTTTATATTTTTCAATTGTCAAAATTATGACATATATCGTAATTAGTATAATCTTCAATTATATCAATATCACCTATCAAAAACAAATAAATCACAATTTCATTAGGTTCGTGAGAAAACAAGTCATTTTCCATAGTAATTTTGTACGAGATCCAATTTATAATAATCTAAAAAGTACGTTTCAAAGTTTACAATGAACTGAAATGATTTCTCTATAGTCAATGGTATGAACAGAGATTATCTGGTATGAAGAAGATTATATGAGAAAAATCGAAGAAAATTCAAAATAAAAGACTACCTACTCTCAGAAATCAGCCAATTTCCGGAATATAAAAAACATTTTTTGTATTTATTCGATTTATTTTGCTTAGTTCATTTTGCCTATATCATTTCTCTTCGAATGGTCATTCACTTCAGCATTCCACCCGATTCAGAGTCGATCCTTCGTCTGATTTGACAATATCGTGTATTCCCTATTATCAACGTTTGTGATTCTCATGAATGACTTGATACTTGATTTCAGTCATTGATATTCATTTTGTCAGGCTGCCAAACTAAAAAAACCTTGGAAATCCTGAATGTAAAGGAAAACATCGTATTCTCATCAGTATTTTGCTCGGCGAAAATCACTTCCAGTTTAGGTGTGGTGGGGAAAGTAATACCCCAAGTGAATTGGATTGACGATTCATAAATTACGTGGAAACCACCGTTGCCTCTTCATGTAAGGAGTGACAGATTGCTATACTGAAGCTACCTGGCATGAAAGGTGTCTTGTCAAAATTTAGTGGGGTATCTCATACCCCACCACACTGTTCGTGGAGTTAATTCGGGAGCAAACGCTTACTTCTCGATTCTGTGAGTAGATGAAAATATATAAACTAACAGACCGAAGGGAAACCCCGTGAGTTGACGCTCAGCACACTTACTTTAATATCTCAGGTTTGCTCAAATATGTTAGCATTGAATATTCCTCCAAGATTTCGTCAGTCAGAATACTGCTTGTTGATGACCCCATATCACAAGTAATTTCATCCACTTTCAATGAGTAGGTAGTACCTACAATGATAGAATCTTGCAATGATGTGAATTTAATCTTTGCAATCTAGAGATAACACCTTATATAGGTACTTTTTTTCGAAACAATATGCAACTGAAATAGTTATCAGCTTATTAATAATGCGTTGTGTGTTCTCATGAGATGATTCATCAAGTTGGTATTATCACTATTACTAGATAAGCAATCAGTACACTCCTATAAAATCTCTGATAAGGTGTGGTTAAAAAGTGTGGAGAAATATCAATATTACTATCATTCCTGAGGATCATGGGAATAGGCTAGCAAAAGCACTGATTTTTTTACAAAATTATTTCACCTACTCATTTTTTAATTTCAATATTTTTTCTCGAAACACCTAAGTTGTTTCAAACCTCATCTACAAATTATTGAAATTTCCTGGATATACACATGATGAATTCATCGCCATACATCAAAACTCAAGGCTGATTAATGTACTTACTCGTCGAACTCAGCATACTAGATGTCTGGTTGGTACCATGTGTTCCCACATATTGGGTTTAGTACCCAAACATATACGCTGATGCTGAGATTTCATTCGGAGACGAGTAGTCCAGTCACCAGGTACATTTTACCTGGACAAAGGTCCGAAGTTGATGATCTTTTGATATGTTGTAAGTGGGTATTTCGTGGTGTAAAAACCAAGTTTTCCAATTCGAGAACCTTGTGCAAACTTCAGGGCAATCGAAAGACCAACATTTTTTGCCTCTTTTTTCAGTATTTTGCTTATTACTACTAAAATAAGCACTTTAGTCAAAAATACTCTATCACAGAAGTTGTAGAGCATAAAATTTCCAACAATTCACATCCATAAACCGTTGCTCAAAATTTGATAGGTACCGAGATATGGCGCTTTGAAGTATCGACATTTCTTCCAAATATCGAAAAACTGCGAATAATGCACGTTTTTCTCAAGTAAATTTTATCTTTCACGTTTCAATATCCGTATATGAATAACTTTCAATAACCTGAACAATGGAAACCTCTTTCTCAATGAGATTTCAATTTATTAACTGAGTAAAATGATTACAAATAAAAAGCCTTCACTTTGTTGTTCCCAATCGCAGGTCGGCATCTTCGTCCTGAGCAATGGTCTCATCCATGACGACCTCCTCGTCGCACTCAATATCGGTATCGTCCTCGTTGAGTTCGGTTTCAGGCGAATTTTCACAACCATTTCCTGCACAATTTTTGCAGATGGCTGAACACCGGAGTCCTGTTTTTTTTGCAGCTGCAAGCTCCGGTGCTACAACCTGTCATGCACTTACATTGTATCATGTGCAGCAACTTTTCTGGAGCTGCATCTGAGGTCGTTGTTATGGGTATCAACCCTCGTTTTGTGAGAGTCCAGCCCCAAACAGACAGTGACTTTTCGTTGCCCAGCCACGTCTGCACTTGTAAATAAGTTCTAAAAGAATGGTACCGTGCAGCGTCTCGTGTAGGGGGCAATCGGGCAAGGTGAAATCTGGATTTTGCCACAGAGTTCGAGAATATTCGGTAGCGAAGATCGTCCACAGTGTCTGTGTCTATGTTTCCACCGTAGAGTGCCACAAGAAATTTTTCTCCTGCTATCGAAATTTGGCGTGGTGTTGCATCTTTATCTTTGAAAACACTAACAATGTCAGACAGAAAATGGTTTTTCTCATAAATAGAGAGGACTTTCTGACTTTCTTCTTTCCCACTCCAAAAGGGTTCGATGTAGTGTCACACCCGCTAACTGCTTGGAGGTAAAGAATATCCTGAGTAATGTATTTTGTATTTGCAAGATGATGACGAATACAAAGTACTAGGAGCATTACCTCTCTCACTCTTTTGGAAATACACGTTCTTTAGAGATGAGCCCAACGCAGTCAGCAATACTAACAGATCTACGTCTTCACCTATAATAGTAACACTATCGAAGTCAGAAGCTTTAGATATCGCAGTTTTCAGTATCATGACATCAGCGAATAAAAAAAACAGTTTTTCGCTCTTATCTCAGGAACCGTTCGAGCTACGGAGCTGAGCCTTTGTACACACTTCATCATTAATAATGACTACTTCTAAGGCTCTTGATCAATTTCCTTGGACATGTCAGTGGCGGAGAGTTCCCTACTATGTTTTTTCAATTATAAGTTGAATATTTTTCGAAAAAAAAATTATTGTAGGATTTTGTATGTTTCCATTCCTAAATCGCCTTTTTTATCGAAAACTGTTCTCCTCAGAGCATTGAAGCAAGAGGACCTTTTTCGTGTGAAAGACGTTGGCGCTTCAGATTGTGTTTCGAAAATTACAATTTCTCCAGTGGAATGAAAGTTAGGGGGGTTTAAACTCTTACGAGGCGTTGAACTCTCCGCCACTGACATGTCCAAGGAAAATGATCAAGAACCTCAGAAGTAGACATTATTAATGATGAAGTGTGTACAAAGGCTCAGCTCCGTAGCTCGAACGGTTCCTGAGATAAGAGCAAGAAACTGAATTTTTTCATTTTTTTCTTGAAAACGGAAGCCCGGAGAAAAATTTCGTAAAGAAAAAACATTCTTTTTTTTTATGAGGAATCTACAGTTTTCCGTTGTAACACTTATTTATCAACACCCTGTATACCCATTTGAAAATGATGGAAGATGAAATATACTAGTGAAGAACCTGAATTTCTAGCAGTTTTTCGATATTGTGAGAGTTTGAAGCGCTATATCTCGGTACGTATTTGGTGAAAAAAATAAACGATAGATGATAATTGTAGGAAATTTAATCCTCTTCAAGTTCTGTAATTTCGTGTTTTCCGCTTGAACGCGTTGTTTAGGAGTTATAAGCAAAATATTGAAAAAAGTCCGAAAATTTACTAGTTTTTCGGATGCCCTGAAGTTAGCACAGGGTCCTCGAATTGGAAAACTTGGATTCTACACCACAGACTTGCCACATACATCATATAAAAAGATCGTTAACTTCGGACCTTTTTCCAGGTAACCCCACTGTGAAGTACAGGGTGACTGGACTTTGTCTGATATCACTCACTAAATCTTTGACATCAATGGAACAACGTAGGAAAATCGGCGACCTTTTACTTTTTTACAGATACATCCACGGAAAATGTTCACTAATCATACCAGATACGAACTCGACAAGCAGTAAGCACATCCTTTTATGTTGACAACCTCAAGAATAAGCTTGTTAACTCCTTAACTGCACACTACACTATTTTACTACTAACCATTCCAAACGGTTTGGTTAGTGGTAAAACAGTGTAATGTATTATCATGCCAGTCTTTGATATATTCTTGAATGCATTTTTGACAGTCGAACGAACTTCATATGTTCATCCCTCTAACCCCAGCAACTCCAACTTTAATAGTTATTAACGTTTCAAGACCGATATGTAGCAAATAACAAATGAGGTTGAATATTGTAATCCGAAGCGTAGCCGAGGATTATAACAACAGAATCCCCCGTTATTTGCGTATCGGCCGTGTGTCGTTCAAGACTTTTCGTAATCCCGCTGAATGATTACATTTTGATCCCGAGGAAAGAACAAACAAACTAAGTACCTCGTAATTCTATAGAAAAATCCCAACATCTTGTCGTTATGGAACAGTTAACGGCCGCCAGCCGTTAAACAATCTTAACAGACGGAAGCTTTTAATATTACCTTTTCAATTGTCAACTGAATAATGTTACATCAAAATAACAGTAAGGGATTACGTAAAATTTATAAAGACTACCCTACTTCAAACATATAATTTCAAAGACCTTCCCATTATGAATACACTGGTGCGTGGTATTTGGGAATCGGTTGAGATTTGACGGAGTATACAGTATGATGCAAATGTATGGAATAAATTCATTTCAAAACAAGACGACTTTCGAATAAAAACCAAAAACTAGAGTTTAGAACTTTTTTTCGACGTATTTTTTTAACTAGACGACCCTTCGGTGTTCAATTCTCAGTAGCAGACCTCCGCAAGATTCAATTAATCACATGATAATCCATTTTAATTTCAATCTTCTTATGGAACATTTTGACTGTTGAATAGACGATCGGTAGACCTTTCAATCAAGGTGTCACATGACCCCTATTTGTATTTGAAAAAATCGTCCATTACGTCTTTACTCCAACACCGGTGACGTAACATCTCTCATATGAATATCATGAGATGAGGCTTCAGAAATTAAAACTCACGTGTTTTTGGAATTTTTTCAAATGTCGCCCATTTCTGAAATAATGAATTTATTCCATACATTTGCATCATACTGTATGTGCACAGTTAATGTTCACATTTTAGCCGATAGCTCTCTCAGTTAATATTAATCTTATTACAGAAACATTAAAATGAGCCAAAATTAGGTAATAAAATGGGGTTATTTGGGACCTCGGGGTAACTCGGGACGCAACTTCGGATGTTTTAATTTTACTAGCGGCAACAACGCAAATATAAACATTAACTCAATTTAGTATTTTGGTTAGTTGGAGAGCAACCTGTTGATGATTAATTTAAGGAATTCTTCATAAATTAATGATATTTCAAAAGTATAAAAAAATTTAAGGGGTGGTGAGAAGCGAGGCAAAAATATAAGTGGTCGAAAACTTTATCTGATAGAGGGAGTCAAGAGGTGAACAGGTAAGTCCAATAAGATTTTTTAGTTAGTTTTGTATGGTTTATAAATACTGCCAATATCTTTGCGCGGGTTTAAAATTTTCTTTTTAGAATTTCTAATATTTTTTTGAAGAAAGTCATGATTTTGGGTAACTTGGGACACCCATTTTTCTAGTTCTTTTTGGTCTTCACGATAAAAATCGTTAAAACATCTTACATGTACCCACCATTATACTTCATTCAAGTATTTTTGCATTTTTGTAATAAATATATGAATATTTTTTCAGATTTGTCTTCCCGCTGAATAATTCTATGAGCAAAATAAGTCAACTCAAGATGTGTGCTGGTGTATTATTTTTAGATTTCTGCTGTCCCAAGTAAACTGTGAGTAGTTTAACATGCATTTTCAGTGGAAAACCGGCACAGTCCCATTTAACCCCAATACGGGGTAACTTTGGGTTATGATGCTCTATTCGCGGGAATCAATGCACCAGGTGGCGCTCGGTTTTCATCGTTTCATGTCAAAGCCACGTCAAAACTGGGGGAAAA